TAGAAACATTAAATTAAATCAAAATCCCTTTAGCTAATAATTTATTCGAAACAATAAGCACCATCGTTATCTAGAATATCCCTCCAACCTTGCTTCAAATTGCGGCCCCTTATCGAAGAGCTCTTGATTCTGTGATTGAAAGTAGTCGGGATCCAAATCTCAACCTCTTGCGCATTCTTAAACTGGCAATTCGCAAGGGAATGTTCGATCTGAAGAGGTGAAAATCAGATGGTGATAAGTCTGGACTATATAGCGCATGTGATAAGACCTTCCATCCTAATTCTTCTAACTTCTCTAGCTTTTGCTGTGTGAGCTAGCTGGGATCACGGAGAAAATTGACAGTCGAGGAATTTAGACCGTTTTGACGCAAAATTTGGTTAACCTTCTTGAGCTGTTGAATAAAACAAGGTGGATCAGCTGTTTTTCCGGGTTCTGATAATTTGAAATAAACAGGAAATTGATATTCCACCAGCAAGACAGCATCACTTTGTGCCCATGATAATGCGGCTTTGGAGTTGAAATTGGCATTTGACCTTTGCTGAGCCATTGTCTTTTTCGAGATGTTTTATCGAAGAGAATCCACTTCTCGTCCATTGTCAGGATATTCACAAAAAAATAGCTCCTTTTCGAATTGAGAAGCAAGATATGGCTGATCGAAGCGCGTGCTCCCAGATTCTGTGCTCAATTCATGTGGAACGATCGCATCGTCCATCGCCCATTACGATTGGGAAACTTCAAGCGGTTCAATACCTTCTCGAAATCGGGCCAGCAGGATCTTTCGGCCATAACTCGTTCTCCAAAAGCGACCGAGATCACGATGTGATTCGGGAGCGTTTTTGCCCATCTTGAAATCGTAGAGAAGACACGCGCGCACAACATACCTTTGATTCACCATGATCTAAAGCAAATATCAATTAAAAAGTGAAAGCTTTGGCTTAGAAAAAGCATAAAAATAAAGTAAATATCCAAGAGTACAAATATACAAAAGAAAATCAAATAAAATTTCTAGATTAAAAAATAGATTTTATACGGACCGAAATTTCTTTTGCATTAACTAGCTGCTTAGACTAGCTGTTATAAAAACAATCAAAAGCTTAGGTCAATCAGAAGCTAGGCTCTTGAGACTGATTCCGTTAAGGCTTACAGATCAAAGCATTCATTAGAATTATCTATGGCTATAATTATTTAGTAAATTGAAGCCATTGGCTGATAAAAGCTATGCTCAGGGTTCCGTTTATGAGCCGAAACTCTTCAGTTCGGTTCGGTGGGCGTCTTTTTCGGTGTCAGTGGCCTTTTTGTTGTCAGGAAGAACTTGATTTTGAAAGGTTTGTGAATAAAAAACGTGCTTAAAGTTCTTCCAGTTAGACTTTTCACAAATCAATCTGCTTTCCAGGTATAATCGAGCACTATGCTTTCGTCGATTTAGCAAACTTTATCACGATCAACGCGTGTCATGTTATTTGGGGAATCCCGTCAGCTATTTGGTAAGTACAGGTTTAAAATAGATCACTTGAAAAGAAAGAGATCAATTTAAATATCAACGCTTTTCGATTACGATTTAGGCATGTTAACGAAGCGATTCCATGGCTGGATTACACGATATCGGGCGCCGCATTCACGGCAATTTCTCTTGGCTTTCCGCCAAAGGTTTGTTAAATGAATTTTTGTGTAGATTGATTGAAAAACAGATGATCCATACATAGAACTTGTATCTGAACGATGCTAAAACTTATTTCATTGAAGAGACTTGAGTACAAACCTGGGTGGAGCTTCAAATCGAGCTTAGAATCACCATTCTTTTCATGTGCTACTGTCAGATCATTTTGAGATTTGGGGAAAAGGTGTAGGGTTGGATGATGGCAAAAATATTCAGCTCTTTCTCGGCATCAATCGTTTCTGTGCTTTAGCATTTGAGGGTCGTTTTTATAAAACTTTTGAGAGAACAAAGCCATTTCAATACTTTGTGATGATCGTTTATCCACTAATCACCGCGATTGTTTTTGCAATTCGTAAGTTATTTTAATCTTGAAGTGTTCATTTCTCGATTTCTCGATTTCAGCCGGTTGTCATTGCATTTTTGTACCATATCTCGCGAATACTTTCTTCACACAAGATGGAAAATGTGGACAAATGATGATTTATATAACACAGGTCAATATTCGACAGTAATTTGCCTACTGATAGCAGAATTTAGTTTAAAAACAAAAGACTTTTTAATGGCTAGACTTTAAGGTTCTTCCTTGTTATACAATTGTACCATTTCAAACATTTCTTGACTGTTCTGTGTTTTATTTGATGAGGAAACGACTACGAAGCTTGCAAAATTCTCGATCAACTATAAGCAATCATCAAGCGAATCAAATCAAAAAAGAAATGAAATTAGCGATTCAGGTGGTTCTTTATGTTTTCTCAAAGATGTCTATTATTAAAAATATCGTAATCTTCTTTCCAAATTATCGATCTTTTGCATCTACAGATGATCACAAATCTGATAGCCGGCCTCATCATGACGACCTCAATTTTAACCACCTCAATGGCTGAAGGCACTCACTTCTCAACATTTGCCACTTTTATTCTTTTCACTGCCCTTTGGCTTATTTCGACGCTCATCCCATGGTAGTTTTTGAAGCTTTTGCTTAAGAAAGCATTTACTTTATGGATTCTCTATTAGATTATCAGCAAGTAATGAATGCGAGATCCAAATGAAACGATTCATTGAACGTTCAATTGAACTCTAAAGAGCAAAGCCAAAGAATTGAATTGCTTTGACCTTTACGCTCATGGATCAAGTCCTAAGTTAGCCCATCTTGTATCAAATTGATGTTATCCTGGTTAAGACGTTAAGATGATCTGACTCAAGAATCAAAACTGTTGTCAAAATCAAAATAATTGCTAATGACAACGATTGCAGTGTTTTTTACGTTGTTTTACTGCGAGAGAAGAGAAGAAGCACTCGAAATAGTATCACCGTATCAAATGCTCAAGTAACCGAAAGAAATGTAAGAGAGTTGAGAAATTAGGAGAAAAATCTAATGACTTTCAGGGTTCTCTTCGGGAATTTCTCAACAAAGTCTTCATTGTCACTCAAATTGAAAAACACAAAACTTGAGACTGAAATGTTTGTATTTTAAAAGCTGCATTAACTATGGGAAAGAGAATAAACTTTTCTCGAGTAATACATCAATAGCTTTTAAAATTAAGCGTAGATTTATACTTTTACTTGTTAAAAATATATTATTTTATCCCTTTTTGTAGCCTTTAATACCAATGTAAACAAGTGCAATAATAAAAATTGCACTAAACACGAAAGAAAGTGGATCAAAGTGAATGAGCGGAATGATCACAAACGAGAAAGCAAGCGCAGCAACAAGAAACAAAAACAAAATTAAACCAAGCATATTCGAGCTGTATTCCTGTTGTTTTTCTGTTGTTGACTTTTCCCTTAACATAATCAATCCAACATACAAACCGTAAAGCATAAATACATCGGAGAAAAAGCCTCCAAAAACTCGGAGTAATCGTTTATAATAACAACAATCAAAGTGAATGTGCCAAGGCCTGGAGCCCAGTTACATTTACCGCTAAAAATTTCAGTATTATTAAGCGAATGGCGGCCCATCACGTCGACAGAGTAAACGGCAATCCAGCACCCAATTATTGTTCCGAATATCATCTTTCGTCGTTTTTTATCCTAAACTCTATCGTTTATCCTTAACTTTATCATTTATCCTTAACTTTTTATCCTAAAACTAACTGACTGGAAGCTTTTGCTTAAAAGAACACAAAATTAATCCTTTTTTGTACATCACACCTTTCAAAAGTTCTAGAAACTCGCTCAAACCTCTTACTCTCTCAAAAAGGCTCAAATAAACGAACCTTTTTAATCTGTTCCGGATTTTGCAGATTTTGTTGAGCTTGTCCTGTATTTGGTGTTTCTATGTTTCTATTTGAGTCGTCATTTGTCGTTGAGCATCCCTTTAAAATTGTGGATATTAAAATGGTTCATATTTCTATCTCATACCGGGCTTTGAGATGCGGGCATTCGTTGGAGCATTACATTTTCTTCGGTAGTGTTTAAAATTGGTGTCTCAGACTCAGTTCGTTCTTTTTTGGGTCTTTCCGGGTGTTTTGGGTGCTTCGTTGGATGATTTGCTTGAAGACGATGAAGGGTCATTAGCTTTAAAAAATTGTTGAACGTACATTAACTATGTAGACTGGACCAGACTCCAAATGGTTTGCTATTAACGAATCTCTTCGCTTGGTACAGATTTTCTTGTGGAATGTGAAAAGAAAAGAATTGGGTGTATTGTTGGATATTTTGAACCTAAGCCTGGATGAATTGAAAAAGCACTAATATAGTCATATTTATTAGATGATTTCAGGATTTTTCAGAGAATACATACTAGATTGATGTAAAAGAAATTTCGGTCCGTATAAAATGTTCTATTTTTTAATCTGTTCTAAAAAAATAATTGAATATTTTCAATTATTTTTGAAGAGGTCGAAATTTGGGTGACCGACTACTTTCAATCACTGAATCAAGAGTGCTTCGATGAGGGGATCCGCAATCTGAAGCAGCGTTGGATGAATGCTATAGATAACGATGGTGCTTATTATTTGGAATAAATTGTTACCTAAAGGAATTTTGATTTAATTTAATGTTTGTAAAAAAGCGAAATTTCTTTTGCATCAACCTAGTATCAACCTGGTTGAGCGCTTTTTCTCTATCGTTAAGAATGAGCTTACCAATGATCGTGCTAATGGTTAAATGGTTGCTTGAATTGTTGCTTGAATGGTTTCTATTTCTTATCTCTAGTGTATTATCAGTTTCTTGGTTTTAGCATACAAAAAATACCAACCAGAAGGCTTGAGTAGTTTGATTAATGAAGCTCGAAAAACAAAGAAAGCTATCATAAGCGTGATTGTGCCGAGAATATTGATGAGTCCGCTAGCCACTCCGGTGTACACGGTAAAAGCATAATGAGTGGCTATGTGAAAAGTCGAATTGGTGGCCGTTTCAGTACTGCAAACTGCTCGTTGATTGTGACGAAAGATCTTTTCGGTGTACATTCCAACAGCATCCAATATCATGAAGAGAATAGTCGACACCATTGCCGGGTTCTTAAAAATGAACCCAAGCTCATGGATGGGGAAACCAGTCATACTGAAAAATCATTTTTTCGAATCAACGAAATAAATATCTATTCTTTTCTAAACCTATTAGGCTGTCCAAAAAGTTTTTTTCGTTTCTTTCCATACTTTCCGTTTTAAAAATGGCAACTTCACCAATTCATTTATGAGTTGCTCTAAAGAAAAAGTGTTTATTGTTCAGTTTTCCCTCTTTTTAAGTCAATTTTGGTTCACTTTCAAGCAAATCCGCAAGTGAAAACACGTGTTTTTTGTAAAAATCTATAAAAATCTCTACGAAAAAATTGGCTGAATCAATTTCACGGAAAATTTTGCTATATACCAAACTTTTTGTGCTCTATATTTTATCTATTGACACTAAGATGGGCTTCCTTAGCTGAAGTGTCGAAATAGGATCTATTGGGTTATTGCATAAGTCTTTACGGTCTTTTACCAAAGTGCCTGAATTGCATCGTCGAGTTTTTTGACGACCCCGACTTCATGTTATCCAAAAAAATCCAAACATAAGACATTTGTAAACCCGTTTTTATGTTATTTTGCAGAAAAATAATTGGTTTTTCTAATGAAACAAACCGTAGTTCAATTGGTGCATTTGTTGATTTTAAACGGAAGTACGAAAAGGAACGAAAAGACTTTCTGGACAGCCTAATAACTTTACCCAGAGCCCAAAAAAAGTTAAAAATTGTTTTGTTTTGGATGAAGGGGCGAAACATTTATATTCTTGTCGCTTATCAGCTCTGGTCGGTCTTTTTAAATTTTTTTTGCCAGTGTTATTTTTGATAATACGGATGGCATACAAAAGAAGCCATCTTCTTTACGGCTTATCGGCCTTGCCCGGGATTTTATTTTTGTGTCACATAAAATGTGTTTTTAATTTCGAAACTCAAAAAATTAGCTAACAAGGGAATGATCTCTCAATTTCTGCAATGTTTTTCAGTTTTTCAGTCGAGTCTGGCGTCTGGCTGTATCATCGAAAAACATGTTCCTTCGTGTAAACAGAGAAATCGAGTTGGTTCACAGATTTCAGCTGGTCTAATAACATTCCGTCAGTGTCGCGCCTTTCATGGAATACCAATTTGTCGCATGAATCGATCCGTTTGGCGAAAGGAAGAGTTGCATCCAGGTCCAGGTCAATCCAGGGGCAAGAATCGACGAACTTCCGGACACAATTTTGCGGCATAGGCTTCTGTCCCAGGGCAACTTCAGCGACGTGCTTTCCGAGAACAATTGATTTATCCATTGCATAGCTCGAGTAGAACCTCTTGTTGACTATCATCAATTCCAGGACGTCTTTCGCATCGAGGTGGTGTGCGATCTCCTCAACCAGCTCCAAAGGCAAATCAGCGATCGTTGCAACCGGCATTCTCGTATCTGAAAATAAAAGACGTGATTGGAATTAATATTTGTATGATTTACTGAAGTCACTTTTACCATCAAAACCACTTTTTTTAGGTTAATCTAGAGCAGTAAACATTTTTCAATATAAAAATCATATCAAACAGTCCAATAAATTGCCTCTGATACTAAAAATGACTCCAATAAATCATAAAACCACCGAAAAATGTATAAAAAACTAATTAGAAGCGACCAAACGTAGATAAAGCTAAATTTTATCCAAAAAATCCTTCACAGCTTAAATTTTCCAGATCAACAATCAAAGATGCCCTTAAAAGCATACAACTATTTAGATTCGTGTCTTAGTTAAAAGGAATTGGTTAAGTTGAGTTTATACGCATGTGTGAACGGAGTCAAAACAATGGAGCGGAAGGAGCCGAAAAGAAAATCGTATTAGAATTTTAAACAACAAACTAGGGGCCAACAATATGAAAAGGAGAGAACGAACGAGGGGAGAGAGTACTTTAAAAACGCGCTATAAAAACATAATAGATTATACGAAAGGGGAAGGAAACTTAGTGAGACTCGGCATGAAAACCCGACGAAGTTTCCGATTCCAATTTGGAATGAAGGAAAATGAAAAGAATAGCAAAAGGAAATTTTTGTGCGAGCTACGATAGCGCATCCACGCTTCAGAAAGCGCACCGCGCCGTTTTCGCTCTAAAAAGTCCCTTAAAACGAGTGCCCTTAAAAGCATACAACTTTCACTCATTTCACATCAAAACATCCTTTTAACGATATTTTGATAAAAGAATAAACGAATGAATAATGCATAAAATTGAAATCTGAAGATTCAAAAAGATTGATTGCGTTTTTTTTGGGCAATTTTTGGATTCTGGTTGCAAATGTGGCTAATTAAACAGTTTATTGAAGCAAAGTTTGACTAAAATGTGGCGTTTTTTCTTCACGAATGAATTTAGGGAAGAAAAAGCAAAAAATTTATTCTCAATTCCATTTAACAACTCAAAAATATATCCAAAATACATTACTTTTAGTGGTTCCGTGAATGGGACAAATGCGGCATCTTTCTTGGCGCACCCGGCCCATTAGCGCACCTTTTTCGCGTTTTAAAAAGCTAAAAACCTAAGATTAACTAGTTTCTTTTACAAAAGTTGTTTTTCTGGGTAATTTTAGGGCGTAGAATCTAAATTTTGAGAGATCAGAGCTTTTGGAAGCAATTTGAAAGATAAAACGAATAGGTCAAATTACAGAAAATTCTCGATTTTTATCCAGAATCTAGTGTTGGGACAGGACAAGTTTATGATTTTGAGGCTTTGTTTTTTGATTTACTTTATTTTTTGACCAGTTTCAGGGCAGGCAAGGAAAGTTGTGAATTTCTGGCTTTTTCAAAAGCGTTTTTCATGCTAATAGAGTGATCAAATCGTCTTGAAATCATGGTTTTCGGATTTTGCGGTCCAAATTAGGCTTATTTTGTCACTTTGCATCAGCTTTTCGCCTTTCTATAGTTAAAGAAAACATCAACTTTATAAACGGGTCGTTTTTCGTCCATTTTCTGTGCTACACCGTTTTTCATTTCATTTCATTTCTCCATTGACTTTTTCTATTTTAGCCTTTAAAATCTTTTAATCTCTGAAAAACATTGCAGAAATTGCATCCCAAAAAGATCGCCTTATGACTGTCAAAGGCTTTCTTCCAAATTGAAACAGTTCACCAATCACATTCGAAAGTGTCCATTGGATAAAGTACAGTTGTGTAGTCAAATGTAGATCTTAAAAACTAAATCCTCGAGTTTTTACGCACGCCTTTACGGATTTGCAGTGCATTTAATAGAGGAATACATTGATAGAACAAACACTGGAGCGTTGGGAAAAATTTTAATAAGGTGATTAATGTAACTTTTGTCTATTTGTTTAAATCTAGGAGCAACAACATCCTCTACATCGGAGGCGCCGAAGACTCGGAAGGTTGATCGCCTAGCTTTCATTATTTATCATTTTGCTAACTTGTTGAGTGTGTAGCGTTATTATTGATCTCTTCCGTATTTTTATGAATAAAGTTTAATTTGTCGAGTTAATTATATTAACGGTTCATGGTGCATGGATCAAACGCAATACCTATAAACTGGAAAGTTTACATGCGAATTAAAAGGGAATGTTTTTGCTGTTGTGTGAAGCACTTATCAGAACTCAGTTTTATGGCGATGAAACATTTAGTCAGTTTAATTGACTAGAATAGAAGAACTCAAGAAAGTCTCGTCTAAAGATTAACGTTTAACATAGTTTGAATCATGATTTGAATTGAATGGCTCGAACTGAAAGCAAAATCATGAATTGAACTACACACAGAAATGAATTGAACTGAAGCTTTGCACAGAAACTCGGAGAATTACATGAAGATCAGATTCAAATATTAAAAAAATACCGGGAAATGAAAATTTCGAGTAATTTCGATAGTGGAAAATTTCGATGTGAAAATTTGTGAGTAATAGCCTTGTGATTGAACTAACCAAAGCAATATGTTCAAAAACTAAGAAAGATTATTACGCACTACACGATACAAATAACAGTCTATCTAAACAAAAACGAATTCACTCTAAACACTCGATTCCATCGTCATCATTATTGGGTTTTGTGGTTGGAGTGGTGGAAGCTGAAGTGGTGGAAGCTGAAGTTGAAGGAGCGCATTCCACTTGCGCTTTAGCTTTACACTTTTTCCTTCAGTTGAGCGTTCTATTTCTTGGGTTCGGTGTTCTGAAATCGAGCTTTATATTGGAAAATTTCAATTTGTGGCCGAAGGGGTTGAATTTGAATTTGGGTTTAAATTTTTTTGCCTAATTCAGAAACTACATAGATTTAAACTGTGGACAACTCAAAACGTACCTTTTCCCTCAAATTGAACAAATCAATCATCATATACCCAAGAGCTAACGCTTGCTAAAATTTCAATGTTATCAAATTTCTTCTTTGCTATTAGGTCGGCAAGAAAGTCTTTGCACGGATTTGAACTGGAATTTCTTAAAAACGAATCCACAAATTCAAGAGCATTTTATTTGATTCTTTACAAGTCGACTCCAAGATATTATTCGTAAAAAATGAGTGCAGTTTTTCCTTAAAATTTAGAGATTTTTGAAAAAGTACTATTTTCTAGCTTAAATTCAGCTCACTTTTTGCATTTCTTATGGGCTAAACGTAACATAAATGAGCAATACACTTTATAATCTCTATTTTTGGCCAAAAAAATTTTTACAGAGAAGCTGTATTTAAAAAAATAATTTTTTCGTGTCTTCTTTACACTGAGTGTTTGCTAAAATAGGCGATTCTGAAAAGTTAAAGCACTAGATAAAATAGAGAATCACAAATTTTCCCTATTTTAAGTACTTGATTTTAGGCTTTGAATGGGATCACCTATCCAGTAACTCATTAAAAACTTGTCTGAAAGCTGGTCGCTTAAAAAGTGACCAGCTTTTAGCTAAAATCACTTCAGCTGAAGAAATCTCTTATTTTTTACCTGAAACCCACTCTGATTTTTCATCAAAAACTTTTTGAAATACAGGGTGCGCCATAATTGTCGCAACAAGGCACCACGCGCGTTCAAGGACAATAACCCGTTGATTTAAGCTTCACTTCTGGTTTTTTGTGTTTTTATTATATTTGGAATATACCGTAAATCATCTAAATAGCGCCGCGGCGCTTTTAGAGGATTTGCGGTAATTGAAACTATTCTCATATCAAATGTGTTGCTTTTTAGAATGGCTGGAAAATCCCCACCGACAATCGATCACCGAATTGCACAAGCGAGGAGTCGAGGCGCCGGAGATTCAGAAGCGTCTTAAAGTCGATAGAAGTGCCATTTTCCGCACTATTCAACGCTACGAAGCTACGGGAACAATTGCTGATACACCACGAAGCGGTAGACGCTCAATTGTCGTCACAAAGCCAGAAATCAAGCGAGTGAGGAACCGAATTCGGAAGAAGCCAAACCAGTCGGCAAGGCAAATGGCAAAGAAGATGATTTTAAGCACCTCATTGCGTCGGAGCCTCAAAAATAAGCTCAAGCTTACTGCTTACAAGAAAAACAAGACTCAACTTCTTTCGAACACCGCTAAAAACAAGCGAAAAGTAAGGGCAGATCAGTTATTGACCATCACATTGGAATCGACCATCATTGTTCTTGTTCTTGTCTTGTTCCCAGATGAAAAGATATTTACCGTTGAAGGTCTTCTTAACAAGCAAAATGGTCGGTTCTAGAAGCCAAAGCTTGTTCCACAAAAACATCGAAGGCTTGAAGAAATCACTGCTTAAAGCGTGGGAAGATGCAGCCTATTTGGTCGCCACCGTTGACGCCTTCCCGAAACTTTGACGCCTTCCCGAAACGCCTGCGAGCCTACTTAAATGCTATTGGTGGCCGATTTGAATTTGATAGTTCATTCATAATTGTTAATCTACAATAAATGTTATTCAGTTAAAAATTTGTCTTTTTTTTGCTCTTGTCTGCCTTAAAATCAGAACTTTATCTTGTTGCGACAATTATGGCACACCCTAAACAGTCAATTTTACCAAAAAAATTTGGGAAGAATTTATGGCTTGGTTTTTGAGGAATCACAGTGCAAACTTTTTCTACAAACTTTCTTGCCTAATATTTAGCTGAATTTTATCTATTACACTTACATCTTTGAGCTCTTGCTCTTTTTGTTGCAGAATTGTCATCGAATTTTTCGCCGTTGGATCCGCCTCTAGTAGTTGCTTCCAAAGTGAGATCATCTCATCGGAATCGATAAGTTCTTGCTGAAATTTATATTTAATTCTAAACTTAAGATTAAAGTGATAATGGTTGAACAAATTTCTTCAATTCTTACCTTAACAAAGCTGAGGTTCGGAGTACTCGCTTCAGCCTCCTTAGCCAGTTCTTGTTGAAGAGCAAGATGCGCTTCCAGGGCTCCAGCAAGATGCGCTTCCAGCGCTCCAGCAAGATGCGCTTCCGGCGCTCCAGCAAGATACGCTTCCGGCGCTCCAGCAAGATGCGCTTCCGGCGCTTCCGGCGCTCTCCTCTCTTCTTGAATATTCAGATTTTCAGTATTTGCAGCTTCTAACATCTTCAATTCATCAATCTTTCGATCTTTGCTAATCGCATTTGGATTCAGCATCAGCAATGGTTTTCTTTCTTTTTCCCGCTCCGCTTTTTCCTTTTTCTTTTCAGCAATTCCTTGATTCTTTGCGTCCAATTCCTCTCGTAGCTTTTTCAGCTCGTCAATTTCTTGCGCAATTTTAGTCTGAAATTGTGAATTTTACATATAAAATGTTAATCTATTATAAGGAAGATGAAAGAAGAAAGAGAAAAATGCAACTAACTACAGATCACTAGATCATGGTGTACTTTCTGCTAGTAAGAGCTAAAACCTAACACACCCTTGCTTTCGGCTACTCTAAATCCTTCCAGAGTTTCAATAATAGATTCAGTGCGCCAAATGATATGTGTTTCTATTTCTGAACACAAAATACAAAATAAACCTTGTGACTTACATTATTTTGCTCAGAAGCCGGGCTGGACAGCGCTTGATCGTCATTTGCATTGGAAGCGGATGAACAACTTTCTGAAACAAATTGTACGATTCTAAACTGTGTTTCTATATTCCTAAGGTATTTTTGATTAAAAACTCACCAGCAATCAACAAATCCTTGACCATTTCCGTTCTCATCTCCACTCTCTCATCTCCATTTTCCTTTTCACTCACATCAAGCTGATCCATTATCTCATCTTTGATTACTTTCTGGAAAGTTGTTGTTCAATCAAAAAGCCCGCTATTCTCATAGTTTATCAACTCACAGTAAATAAATCATCCTGTGCCACTTCCCCATCATTAACACCGCCATGCTCAACCTCTTCGTCTCTTGAACAACCCTGAAACTGAGTATTTTCAATTGTACTGTAATTTTCAACTAACCGGTTCATCTTCTTGTAGATATTGTCGATATTTTCCCTTAACCAACTTTTGAAACGCTTCGGACATATCCGGGAAACAGGAATTCGCCTTTTCGAGCCAAGCTTCCACCATGCTTTTTTCTCTAAACTTGGATCTCAATTTCTAATAATCTTTCTTTTTTAACACTTATGTTCTTATATTGAGGTATCTAACTAGAAGATCTAATGATATTTCTTTTTCTTCTGTTCTTACATTCTTCTTTCTTATCTAAAGATATTTATCCACTATATTCCAGCTTTCCAACTCACATGCAATCGGTTGATCGCACATGTCGACAACCCGTCTTCTTCCTTTGCGCTCTTGTGCCGCATTCTGAAGTTTTGACATAAGATCGAATTCATTTGAAAACCGTACTTTGACAGTAGTATCGCATCCGTGAGTGACCGATCGCGTGGTTGAAGAGACTTTGTGGCGAACTTTTTTTGAAGATCTTCTTGCAGCCCTTTTCCTGACATCGTGAGTTGCCGCTGGGGACCTCGTCGTCAACATATGGAGTTTGTGCCTAGAGGAGTGTGATTTCAATTCGGGATTGTAGTGCACTTACTTGATTCGACGGTTCTCGAACTTTTTCTTGAGCTTGAATCATTTCCGGAGACAATGATTGATAGTTTTCGGCAAAATGCCGAATTTCGCTATTCAGAGTCGGAAAACACCGAACGGCTGTCTTACCCTGATTCATATGAGCCTTGGCGAACTCCAATCGGGCTTTCTTGTGCAAAAGCTTCACGACCGGCTGCATGTTCAATAATTGTCGATCTATATGTGGATTTTCCGTGACGACTCGCCAAATTGTCGACTTCGAAGCGTCGATTTTCAGTTCCGTTTTCACTTCATTGATCGTTTTTCCGTGGATTTTGTTCACAATATGGCGTCTAGCTCGCGGTGTAAGCTTTGGTTTTGGTCCTGGCTTCTTCTTTGGTGCAGAAACGAGCTCGAACTTTCTATAATTTCGCACGGCAAAGTCGGATCGGCCCAAATTTTTTGCGATTTTTCTTATTCAGTCGCCAATCCTCAAACGGGCATCAATCTGGCCTTTATCATAATCCGTGAGCAGCTTTCCGTGTGCCATTTACCTGGAAATTAACAAAAATCATAAATTTAATAAAAAAAATATGCACAACAAAACCAAAAATTTCAAATAACAACAGCAAAGGCTGGTGCGTTTAAGAATTTGAAACGGTTGATTTAGCAAAGAGTTTCTATTTTGAAAATTTTTACTTTTTACAGGATGCTTCTTTTTCGTGTTATTGAGGTTTTAAGACATGCTCTGTCTAATAGAAAAAGATTAATAGTGGTAGCGGTGTTCAAAATGCAAAATTCGATATTTTAGAGGGTGCGTTTAAGAATTTGAAACGCACTGTAGTATTCTGGATTAGAAAGGGTCAGGCATTCTGTTGAGCTACCAAATAGCTGCTGTTTATTGAATGGATTTGAAAGAATCCCAAGTCTACTACGGTACGATGGATTAAAACTATACAGGATTAGGAAGATTAAAGTTGATTAGTTTGTTTATTAAATGAAATTCTCACCTCTGCTAAATTTACGATGATGGTCCAAGATCAGAAATTATGTTACGGGTTGAGGGTTGAAGTCTCACGTAAATTTATAATCCTTGTTGTCGTGCCAATCGATAATCAATTTGTTATCGATAACGATCGATAACGCCAATCGATAATGATAAAGCAGGAATCTTTTCGGCTAACGCGCTTTTCCTGCTGGACAGTTGGGGCTGAACGTAGTCGGGGATCCATTTATCCAAAGAACCTTTATTCTGTTCCTTTTTATTTTGCGCTGAATTTCATGGATATTAGTTGTTATTTGAAGCAGATACCATAAAAGAACAAAAAACTTCTTAGCTAGATAACAAGGGGCATAATTAGAGTTTGTGACAACATATCTTTTAAAAAATATATCACAAGGCACAGAAGTCTAGCTAGCGTCTTTTTGGCACCGTAGTTGTTTTCGTTGTGAGAGCCCGCTGCTGGGCGGTCCAAAACTATGGCAACCAATTTTTGGGAAACTATTCTTTTTTAAAAAACGTTCTATAGAAACTAGCATGTATCATATATTATTTGAAAGTTCTAATTCTCAGCATCATTAATACATTCAGGATTCTCTGGTTAGAGCTTATCTTTGGCCCTTACTGGCCTTCGGAATGAGCTCGCAGCGAGCACCTACCGCGGTCTGCCATTCCATCTTAGCCCTCGAACGAATTCTTACTTCTTAGCCCTCTAAGAAGTAAGAATTCGTTCGAGAAAAACAAGAAATACGATCAAATTTGTGCATAGTTTATCAAAATGAATTTAATTCAATACTTTGGAACCAAATCGACAATCTAAAAGTGTCTTAACCAGCAGAACCAGGCACGCGAATTTTACTAGTCACCGCAAAATGGTGGTTTGCAGCAAGTTGTGAGCCCGTTTTAACGATGAATTTTTAAATCCTTGGTTAACATGTGTCTTTATTTTGAACCAAAAGAATTGAGAAAAGGCCACGCAGTTGAAAACAATCTTTTCGAAATACTCCTTCAATCAAAACCACGAAACGGCAGATCGAAATGGCAGATCGCCGTGGAGTGCTCGCGGTGAGCTCATTTCGAAGGCCAGTAATTCATGCTCTCAATTAAACAAGAAAAAATGGAAATGTGAGCGAAGATCGAAAAAGAAAAGAGAGATCAAAACATCTTAATTGACTCTTCCGGAGTTGTAGTCAAAACAATTTTACTGACGAAGAGAATTAAAGGAGGGTTGAAAAGTGTTTAAACCTTACAATTAGTCACTGATAGTGAGACTAATAGTCAGTGAGAAATCGGCCGGATTGGATCAGAAATTGACGTGGTGATCCTCAAGTGAAGACTTGTCTTGATTTGATTTGTCTTATGAATTGCCTAAAGAAAATGATAAAGGCAATCTTATTCACTAAAAGTTAAGGAAATCTTCAGGGTCAGCTCAAATAAAGCAAATTTCTGCATATAATGGACAAGTTATAAATGGAATTCATATCGACACCTAAATGGAGTTCATATCGATACCAATCCATTTGATCACAAGCCTACATTGAACTTTGGGAGAACGGGTGAAAAATGATACAACACACATTAAGAAAACGGAACGCGGAAAGTTTCTTTACTACACTAATCGAAATGTTTTAGACTAACAAAAAGGGTTCAACTAATAGTCAACTACAGAACACCGATTGCTAAGCAACCAGATAATCTCCCGACTTTATCCCTTCACTTGAGACGTCATCCCTACAGCGATGCTGAGTTGAAATTACTCCCTCTTCCCTCCTTTCTCAGCCTCAAAAATAGGACGGTAACTAAGCATCGAATGTAATGAGAATCAAAAAATAGAGAGATTTCTTTCTCTCAATTTTTAATCTCAAGTGCAGGGATGAAGTCAGGCGATTTACCTGGCTGCCTAGCAACAGGTTCGGTTCTATTGTTTGCTATTAGTTGAAGACTTTTTGTTAGTCTAAAAAGTTCGATTAGTGCTACAGTAGTAAAAAACCTTTCGGAGTCCGTTTTCTTAAGGTCATTTTTAATTTTTTAATTTTCAAGGACATCATTTTTCGCCCATTCTCCAAAAGTTCAATCTCACGGTTCACTTGTCAAAAGCTTTTGGAGATGATTGTATTAGTGAAAGTCAGTGTCGTCGATGGTTTCTGTGGCTCCTAAAAACTTTTAAACAAACCGATCTGGAAGTTTTCAAGGTAATTCACCAGAATTTTTTCAGCTTTGAATTTCATTTATTCATCTTTCGTCGGATTTGTTAAGTGCGTGAGTCAGAAAGGGCCAGAAAGAAGAACTAAAATTGTGGAGCAGAAAAGTGAAAAAAAGTTAGTTGGAATTTGGGGGAAAGTATTTGTCATAGTGATTTTCATAAGCGCAAATTTGGCGCAAATGATGCTCGACGCAAAAGAAATTGACAAAAAGGATTTTAGCGCAAAAAAAACGCGGCACTTTGGCTAGCACCTCAGCGCCAGTATGACGATCATTAATTTGTTTTTCCATTTGAGCGAGCACTCCTCTCATTATTTTCGCCTTATGCAGAAGCGGTTTTCTATTTCTTTCCATCTAAAGTCTCCACTTTCCTCAAAAAAAACTCCCTCATTATCAGGGATGAAGAAGACCACCCACCGAGTCGGGACTGGTGGGGAAAAAGGAAAGCAGGAGAAAAGGAAAAGAGACGAGATTCGTCGAGTGGCAAAAAAAGGGGTCAGAAAGGGGCAAAAAGAAACGGGGAAAGGGGGAGTGGGGGATAAGAAGGGCAATATAGAAGAAACCATAGCCTCTCTTTTCTCTTTTACCGGCAAAATATTTGAGAAATTCGAGAGGTTTCCAGAGAAAACCCGGATAAAGCCAGACGGGGAAAAATATGGGGCATTTTGTGCTTCGCTTCAAAAAACTCCATTGCATGACGCTATTTCTACGCCCATAACACAAAATAATATTTCACACTCCGGAATTTCAGGGTGATGATTTATCGAATGAGCAGAGTATAAAGACATACACCCAAATCAGATAACATAACAAACACAAACAACAACAATCAAAATCAAATCAAAAATCCGAAACAAATCATTGCCTCGCGTGGGCTAAATCGGATTTGGAAGACGTGTCGTCCCTCCTAGCGCTCCCAATGAATCCCTCACATATGGTTCCATGCCCACCATTAGACATGGGCATCGGGTCGGTCGGGTCAAAAGTGACTGACCCGACCCGCGACCCGGTTTTGTTGGACTAATGCCAACTATCTTTTCTAAACTGTGATGAACATGGGCACTATAAACTACAGAAATAAACTACGAACTGCCATACTACAAAAACTTCTAACTGGCTTCAAATCTGTCGCATTGACATGAACTATAACTCAAAAAATAGAGAATCTCAAGTGCTTTTGAATGGACTAAAGTACATCCAAAAATAACATTGTTAAAGAAAGTTAAAGTGGTTTTTAGTCCTGTCGAAACGGACCGTACCCGCACGTAGTTGAAACGATCGAGCCAGGATACAAACCACTATAACTTTCTTTAGTATTGATATTTTCCACACAGGACTGGTGTAGGGCAAACTTTCCGGATTTCATCTCGGCCCAGGAATGGCCTCCGTATTCGTGCGATCTCAATCCGTTAGACTACAGTGTTTGGTCAATTTTGGAGGCAAGGGCTTGTGCAAAGCTCCACAAAAGTTTGGAGGCTCTTAAGCGATCGCTGACCAGGGAATGGGATCGAACCACTCCGGCCGAGCCGCGGCCCATCGCCGAAACTTCATCAAGCGTTTGAGGCTCTGCATCGGACCCAAAGGTGGCAACTTTGAAGAAAAGTAGATTTTATGCTCTCTTTATATCATGTTGTTAATAAAAAATTGTTTCTGTTATAAAGTCTTTTTTGGATTTTTAACAAATAGGCTAAATTAGGCCGCAACGTTATTTCTGGTCACCCTGTAATAAGTGTGGATTAATTACGTCCTGCGACTTTTAGAAAACGCTTTAGCTAATGAAAAAAGGTCCCCCTTTTCAGAATACTACAATGATTTCGACCCTGCTGGGAAGGCTTTCATCGATTGTGTCCCTCCGGCGTAACTCA